TTGTTTCAAAAGAATTTGAAAACTAATAAAAAACAAAATTAGAGAGTCCCTTCTAGGTTTTTAATCTACAGTGAACGGCATTCCTTTTCCACAAAAAACAACAATAAATGTTATTGACTTGATTTTATTTATTTACTGTAGTTTATATGTTTTGGCCTTAATGTACTTTTGACTCATCTATTTTAGCCATGTGATACAAAGTTTGGACACCACAGCTTTCAGGTCTAGTGTTAGTTTATAGCAAGGTGCCATTTTCCCAAAAAGCTCATATTTCTGTTAGGCCCAGAAATAATCTTTATATACTTTCTAAAATATAAAATGTAACAGATTCAATTAAAAGAATAACTTCTTTTCAAATGAGGCCACTACCGCTAAATTTAGATGGACGTTTGATATATTGAAGCTAAAAACATTCTGGTCTAAAATCTAATCTGTTAATTTTGTGAAAGAAATTTTTCATATTAATTTTTCATAGCATGGTTTTGCTAAATATCAGCAAATTAGTTGTAATTCTAACGTGCCTTTTAAAGATAATTGAATTTGTCTCCCACCATGGCTTCTAAATAAAAGGAGGTAAAAGTGAAAATCAGTTTTATCACTTTTACTTGAGTTCAAAATCTTTCCCAACTTTTTTTTTTTTTTTTTTTGAGTCTAAACATCAGATCAATTTTCATCGCCGGTACCAGGTACTGTCACTGGCACAGAATGGTTTTGGCACATTGGCAGAAACTTGGGAGAAAAATGCAAAACAGCACGACGCTCCACGGAGAGAAAAAAACTAAACTCGCCAACAACGGGCTGCAGCTGCTGGAAATTTTTTATTTATTTTTCCCCCCACTGATCACCATACACCGCTGCCAGCCCCAAAAAACAGGAAATTAAGGTCCAAGAAAAGAGTGTGTGTCACGTCTCATTTCTTTTCTTTTTTATATTTTTATTTTTGTGATTTTAAAAACTTCAGATAATCACCTCCTGTTGTTCGCTCCCCTCTGGGAATTCAAGTGCAAAGGTTCTTGGTGGCTGTCGAAAAACTTTTTGTTGCCATCGGAGGAAAATCAAACGTTGCTCGTGCAAAAATTGATCAAGTAAATCCTCCGAAGATCACAGTAATTGTTCCAGTGATTAATTGGTTGTGTTTTAAATGGGCTTTGTAGTTATGTGGTGAAAAACAACAACAAAAAAAAGAATAATAATAAAAAAACATTAACATGCACACAGCTGTGAAAATGATGACAGTCATGTTAGGATAAAAGAGAAAATGAGGCCTAAATGAAGAGAGGTGAGCCAATTGTCAGCTCATTGAAATTCATGCCTCTGGAGAGATGGCCTCTGTGTTGCCCTTTAAAAGTTATCTGTGGAACAAAAACTAAGTCAACAAAAAATTAAATACGTCATTTATGAAAGCAGTTGAATCCGTGGTCATTATTAGGACTCAGAGTGATTCGTGTTTATTACAGCTAATGTTGATGATTGTTCAGCTTCAGAAAATGTGAATATTATTTGAGACCATTCACAGTAGTTATGAGAAGAAGGGTTATGTTACTTAACCAAATGGTAGACTCCTAGCATCGCTAAAAAAAGTAAAGTACATTAATGGAAAGCTTAGTGGAAGGAAAAGGTGTGGTAGAAAAAGGGGCACAGAAACATGCACAATCACAGTTTTGATAGAACTGTGAGGAAATCAGGAAAAAAAAAAATCTGAGAAACTGAAAATGTATATAGGAATGCCCAGACTAGGGCAGTAAAGTGACTGCAGCTGTGAAAGCCACCACTCACAGTTACAGGAAATAGACTATGACTCTTGCATTTCTTGCACTCCTGAATCAGAGACGTCAGGGAAAAAATAAAAAAAATAAACGTGTTGGTCCGTGCCCTAAAGTCTTCTGTCCAGATGGCAGAGAGAAGACATTTTAATTTCATTTGGAAACCGAGGTTCCCCATCCTGGAGTAAGAGTGTACAAACCACAGAGTGCAAGTTGAGTCATGAACTGGGGGAGTAATGTTTTTATAATCTGCTGTTATAGATCCACTGACCTATCAAATCAAAAGCCAGGGCTGTTTTTTTTCCACCACAAATTTTACTTTTTTTATTTTCACATAAACAAGCGAACAGTGGCTCAGACAAAAAACTGTTCTGCCAGTTAGACAGGAAGTAATTCATAAAGGGTTATACGAAGTAGTAAAATAAATAAATAAATAAATAAATAAATGTAACAGTAATTGCAGTTGGGGTTAGCAGCTAGAGCATCAGTCTACATTAGCCGTCTCTAGATGACGAAGGAATGGCTTCCAAGCACTTTGAAAAGTCCTCAAATATTTTTTATTTCGGGATCTTTCCATCTGTATTAATGACATCATGTCCACGATCCACATCTGAAAGGAGGAGGCAGCAGAGGATTTCCATTCCTTTAAGATCCGTCTTCTGGCAGTAACCATTCCCAAAGCCAAATGTCTCAGCATTAAAACTGCAGCTTGTTACTTTTATGAAGAATATGTTTTTACATACTTGTTAAAACTGCTATTATGTTGACAGCACAATGTGAAGCAGAAGAGATCGACTTCCTCCACCTCCTCTCTGAGCTACTATTGTTGTGTGAGGAAGTGCACCGCTTCTGACCAAAACTAACCAATCAGAGCCAGGAGGCGGGTCTCAGCGTTGTCAATCAATTTTGTGTACTCTGCTGAATGTGATGGTGGAAAAATAACTTATCGTTACAAGAAAACCGTTTATCTGCCGTCATTGGTGGCTATGCTAACTAGCCTATTTGTTCACTATAGTCTACGCTAGCTAAAAGCTTAGCAGAGAGCAAGAGGGGCAGGGGAAGGGAGGATGAGCAGCGCCACAAGAGATTGTGATTGACAGAGCTAAGACCCGCCTCCTATTGGCTGTTTCTCGTTAGCACTGGGAGAAGATGTGTAAAAAAAAAACTTTAATAATAATCATAAATACATACTGCAGTTTTAGCACAGAAGGGTCCTGGATCAGGCTCAAATGGCCTTTTATAAGCCTTAGCACACCAGTGGAGCCACATGCTGATCACGTCCGTGCCATGCTGCACTAACGCAGTCATTCTTGCAAAAAAGAGTCTTGTACTGAGTGCATTAACTGTGCAGCACATGAGCATACTTTTAAAACATAAAAATTCATATTTTATTGGCCTGATGTAATATTCTACCACACATGACTGTGCACCTGTATGGGTTAATGAAATAACAAGAATCTGCACAACATTTTAATTAAAAGTTTGAAAAAAAGTCAATTGCCAAAAAGCATTGGTTCTGTCGGCAGGGAAAAATATTTTCCTGATTAAAAGCAACGCATAGGAATAGCAACAACGTGTCCATTTTCTGAGCAAAATGGGAAAAAAAAGAAAGAAAAAAAAAGACCAAACTGCCCCAAAGGAAAATCAAAAATAAATGAATAAATATAAATAAATAAAATTATAACAATCCAAATGGTAATAAACAAACCATTACATGTGCACAGTCATATTAATTATTATAAAGCTCCAGAGGGAAGCGTGTGAACTCTGATTAATTGCCTGGAGTCGTGCGGGGCGGTGTTTGTGGGGCCTGAAAAGTTTCAGACTGAGGTGGTGCTTGGAAGGCGGCGAACAGGCACTTTCCATATTTCCGTATAAATTTGACCTGTCCACGTCTCACGTTCCCTCTGGCTCTGCTAACTGCAGAGCATATGGCACGACATGCTGTTTGGTGCAGCAGTTCCACTTGGTTTATTTGCTGCCCTTCTGTTGACGTCAAAAAAAGAAACACACATTCGGGTTTTTTTCTCCTTTTTTTTTTTTTTTAAAGATTCAAGAATCAAGCTGGCTTTCTTCAACCCAGCACTGGCAAAAAAAAAAAAAAAAAATCCATTATCTTACTTCCTGCTCTGCATACTTCAATTTACAGAGCAGAAAGTAGCTGATATGTATTGTCGTATCAATTATAATTTTTGCACCTTTAGTCCAAAAGTTAAATTCATGACAGTACTGTAAGAAAACCTTTTGGAGTCTGCTAAAAGACTGTGGAAAAAAAATTCACACTGATTAAATATCCAGGCAGAATAGTTTTGATCAAAACATATCTTTGCATTAGAATGGCCTAGTTAAAGCCAAGACTAGAATTGTCTTGACTTTAAGAGCAAAATCGATGCACATAGATGCCCTTTGTGTAATATTTCAGAGTTTTACATTGCTTTAAAGATGTAATCATTTACCGACTCGACCGGACGTTGCTAGGTAACCAAAGAGTGAGTGGGTTAGCTGACGTCACTAGCCCTGACAGGTTGAGCAGCTGATTTCCTCTGCCTACATCTCCCAGAATGCTGAGCAGAGTTCTAGATCAGAGTTTGGTGAATGTTGAATAAAACACCTGTTGATCACTTGCCTATTGCGATACATATTTTTATTGATTTACCATCCGACCTTGCATTAAAATTGTCTTTATCTATCAAATGACACTTCATGACAACAGTCAAACATTTACAGGTGTTACATTGATGACACTGTCATGTCAGTCCTATATGCACACCCAGCTCAAATAAAGTGCTGCCGTTTATGAAAAACTGATCAATAATTATCGATATTGACTGATACAAAAGGTTTATATCGTGATACGTTTTTCCAGCCTGTATCGTCCAGCCCTACACTTGAGTTATGTGTAAATGAGTTGGTATGTTAAATAAAAATCTCATTAAAATGCAAACAAGCGGTCGTCACTTGTTACAGCATAAAACAAAAGAACGTTTATGAACACCTCTTCGATTTTGAAAAGGTTTCTGTTCTGCGAATTTATTTTCATCTTTCCACCGTTTTACTTTTTAAAGAAAACAAATGAAAGTTTGATGCATGGAGTCTGCTGTTACAAATGCCTGTCGTTTGGTGATCATTTCCAGAACAATAAAGCCATGCAGGCTCGGTACTGATGTGAGCAACGTTACAGAGCATCCCACACCTGAGGAAGCCAACGATCCGGCGCGATCGTGAGCCGTAACGTACCGTACACGTAGAGAACGTAGTCGTCGTAGGCCTCCCCGACGGCGTTCGACGCCACGCAGCGATAGGTGCCGTTGTACGACTTGTTCAGGTTCTCGATGTAGAGATCGGAGCCGGTGACCACGGCGTGTGGCGGCACGTCTTCGTCCACCCTGAGCCAGTTGATCTGATGGGGGCTTGAAAGCACAAATGCCACACGCATCACTCAGACGCTGTCTATCCCATGCTAGAAATCCGAAATAAAGGTCAGATCTGAAATCGACGGCGGAGGGCGGGGTGCCTAATGGTGTACGGCATGCTAACAACTGGTTTAATGGTACAATGAAATGGAAAGGTTAAGAGGATGTTTGGAGAGGGATGGCACCGCCGAGTAAACAGCAATCTCCAGTGCTTAAGTTCATCCGTGTGTGTGTGTGTGTGTGTGTGTGTGAGTGTGAAACAACTCACTGTGGTTTCCCCTCAGCGATACATGTCAAATCAAGATTGTCGCCCTCTCTTGTTAACCCATCAGGATATGTCACCACGATCTTCACCTCAGGTTTATCTGGAAAAAAACAAACAAAAAATAAACAGCAAATAACATCTAAAAATGAAGCAAAAAGTAACGGATTTTTATTTTCTCCTAACCTCCAAGTAAAATACGATTTATCTCTAGAGTGAACTCTGGAGTGAAATTCACACCAAAACGAAAAAAAAAAACGAGTGAAACGCAGACGATGATAAAATGATTGTTCTATGTTCTCATTACACATCCAGTCAGTTTGCCCTACCTTACAGCAAAATGTGTCTGTGTGTGTGTGTTTTTTTTTTCCCTGACTCTCTTATCTCTGGACGCAAAAGATTACCAAAATGTCAAGCGGTTACAGTCAACCTTTCTCTTTTTCCTTAAAAGGTCAAACAAAACAGTTATCTACCTTAAAAAAATAATAATAATATTCGACAGAGACTACAAAAGACTAGCCTAACCTTTCTTTGATGCTTAACAGTGGTAGGCAGCTTGTATTACCTCTTTAATCAATGCGTCAGACAATAAAAAAAATAAAAATAAAAAAACGTAAAAATTATCGGAAAAGCAATTTTGCTCTTACCTGAAATTAATGTATGCTATTAGACAAGGCAGCAGCTTACATAAAAACTGAATTTTAATTATATTCCAAAGATTTAATTAAAGCTATGATTTAATGGTAAGAGCATATGCTGAGCTTTTAAGGGCACATTATGGGTATTAAGGAGGAACTGCACTTTATGCTTAAATTTAGACATTACAATGGAGCTCAGCTTTTTACACTAGGGACAGGCAAGATTATGAAAAAAAAAAAACTTGTCATAACAATTTGTGGTACTTCCTGTGATTACTGGAGGTAATCACAAAAAAAAACTTTAAAACAATTAGGTTTTTACAAATACATCTGTGAGAAAAAAATCTTGAGGCATCTTCAATTCATACATGAAGTGATGAACAGCAATAACATTATCCAATAAAGTCATATTTCTAATATATATTGATAACCTCTGGAATGTTACAGTAGAAGTGGTAACGCCAATCAAACCTTCAGATTTTGGAGTTTAACAGCATCACCAGTTTGTTGTCATGACGATGAACCACAAATTATCCAATTATTGCATATCTTTAATGTGCATCAACCACAAATTAAAATGTCTACCTATCCTTTCAAGGTAAGGAGCATGTCTTATTTGATTTGTTGAAAAGTTCTTCCAACACATTTGTGAGGTCAGACACTAATGTTGGACGAGAAGGTCAAGTTGATCCACACCAATCTTGCTGATAAATGTCCTTGAATGCTCAATAAAATCTCACTTCCTGAACCTCTCTATGCAGGTCTGTAGTCTGTTACAAAAAGCCAATTACCTCTCTGCTCTTTGTGACTGAAGATGCCCTGACCCAACTGTGTGACCTGGTGTGGCTCACCACTTCGTTGCCGTCATCCCCAATTGCTTCCACTTTGCTAAAGCAGCAACAACAGTCGAGCAACCGTGGAATATTTTGTGGCCAGAAGATTTCCACCCTGGATTAACTGCCCAGGATGCATCTCATCATGGTGCTATGCCGGAATGTCCTCAGTTAACCTTTTCTAGGAGCTACATTTTACATTTAATGTGGCTAGGGAAATGTTTGAAACAGCTGAATTCAAAGATTTGGAGGGATGACCAAGTACTTTTGGAAAAATAGTGTGCGTCAAATATGTTTCAAGTACACAACGTGACACATCAAAGATTTCAATAAATAAAAATGAATTTGAGCTGGAGATAGGCACCAGCACCCCTCCCGACCCCACTGAGGGACAAGGGTGTTCAGAAAATGGATGGATGGATGGAAAATGAATTTGTTCCGAATTTGTCCAATCTAACAGAACTGTTATTTATGTTTGGAACAAGTTTTGAACTCATTATTTGGGTGTTGGGCTCTTGTCATTTAATGAATCCACTGTCTACATATTGAAAATGCTTTATTTTTTTCTATGCATTACCTAAATCGTTAAAAAACATGGGTTCTTTTTCATATTGTCGACGAGTCGCCAAACAAAGTACTTAGTCGATCTCTGTAGTTTTTGTTTTTTCTTCCTCAGACTGAGCATTAAGACTTCAGATAATTTTATTTACCAGAACCATAATGCAGAGGGCGACCATTCAGTCTGTGAAAAACCTTCTGCATGCAAGCTGACACAAGTTGGACCAATTCTGCCTTTTTGCAAAGTGTTACGCAACGCATTTGATTGGTCTGCGGTGAAAAGATTAGTCCGTAATTAACATGTTAAAGATTTGCATACATTAACGGAGTCGCAGCTTCAGTCCATCACGTTTTGGTGAGAGTAATCTAGAGAGTTACTGTTTTGGCCTAAAAATAGAAAAGCTGTTTCCTGCTTGTGTGTCAAAGACAAAAATGATTATAAATCATAATTATTCTGTGCAGTTTTGCTTAAAAGTTTACATACAGTGCACAGGAAGTCCTGAATTTATAGTTGATTTTCACCAAACATAGAGAATAATATCATATACCGACAAAGAAAGGTACACTTCAAATCAAATTTAGAATTCCTCAATAATTCTGAATTCTTGGCAGAAATTACAGAATAAACTTAAAATATTACGTTTTCTGGTAAAGACTCTGTTTTTCAACATAGTTAACAAAATTGTAGAGAGGTTGAGGTCATTGTTTATGGAGGACGAATCAATACGCTTAACGCTAGACTGTTTAGTCCATTCAAAATCAATTATTACATGTATTTGGGATCATCCTACCTGAAACGTCTCTCCTCAAAATGTTTGACGATGCAAAACAAACCAGCTAAGTCTGTGAATTCTGTGACGAAGAATAATAAATTACCCAAAATGATGTAATAAAACCTCAATAATCAAGCACAAAGGCTGACCTACTGGGTAGACTGTAACAAAACACACACACCAAATACAGAAATAAAAAAGAACTAGGCGCACACAAGAACGTCTAAGAAGTTTATGGCAGAGATGTAAGAGTGGATTTTCAAAGTAGAATTAAAAACTGCTTTTGAAAGAGCTAATTAGGTCAGAAAAACATCATCCAGTAAGATGAAAACAAAACTGTGACAAGTACGGAGCCTTGTGGTACACCTGAGAGGAGACCAACCATCTGAGGACTTTAAACCAAACATTGCATGTATATACATGTAGATAGATTGTAGATGTATACTTTATTTTCTCTAGAAGGGGAATTTGTCTTGGACATCTTTCCCCTTATGGAGACAATAAAGTATACATCTGTCATATTTATATATTTGAACATATTTAAATAAAAGAAAGTCAGTATTAAATGCAAACTTGGCAACCCAGTTTATGTTTTTGTGTCATGATCCGTGGTTTTCTGTGTGTTTGAGTTTTTCAATGTGTTCCTGTTTCCCTGTGAGTCTCTGTCCTGTCCTCCCCGTTGATTGCTCCCCAGGTGTGTCTCATTCCCTTAATTACCCCGTGTGTATTTAAACCCACCAGTTGTCTGTGTTCCTCGTCGGGTCCTTGTCTATGTCTAACGTGTCTACTGTTCTAACGTTTGTCTTATGCTTTCCAGTAGAACTGTACAGTCCTGGTTTGCTAAGCTCAAGATTCACATTGTCAGTTGCTACCGGTTGTTAGCTGTGAGCTAATTGTTCCTGCCGTGCTGCCTGATTTGGACTATGTGAACTACATTCATCATTAAATTCATCTTCACCATAACCTGGGTTCTCTGCGTCATCTCCTCACCACTTCAACCCCACCTTATGACATTTTGTACAAATCAAAGTAGTGTGCTGTCTGTTCATTAACCTGGAGAAAATATGTCTGAATTAATAAATATTAAGTCTACACTGTAAAAAAAAAAAAAAAAAAGTCTGTAATTTATGGTAAAATGCCAGAATTTTGCCGTATAAATATGGTAAAATCTGTATTTATACAGTAAAATTCTGGCAAACACAGCTGCCTGTATTTTACCGTAGATTAGAGATTTTTTTTTCTATTTTTTACAGTGTCTGTTGAGTGTAGAATCAGTAAGGACAAAGGTTAAATTAACTATCTGAACACACAGCAAAATGCCAAGATATTTTTGGCACAAAATGATTCTATCTCAAATATCTCTGTGCTGCCTTTGTCGCTTTAGTTGTTAAACCTTTCTTTTATTTCACAGTTTCCATTTTCCGATACTTCTAGATTAAACCTTTAAAGCACAGAAACACCCAGGACTTTCTCCACTAACGAACGCCAGCCCTCCAGAGTCCAAGCATAGCACCCTTTGGTTCTGGCCCTTTAAAAAGAAAAAAACGAAGAAGAAGAAGAAGAAAAAAAAAAACATGCATTTCTGGGTCACTTACAGAGCACTTCCAAGTGTCTTTGAGCCAGAAGGTCCTTTACAGCTGGATGGTCAACGATGCAGTCCACCGGCACTCCATCATCCTCCTTGGTGACAGAAAACCTCACCCGACTGGTGACAGTAAACATCCTGTCATACGTCTCCTCGACTGTTGTTTCAGCTGGAAAAAGCCGCCGCACACAGAAGAGGAAATAAAAGTTACTGGCCGAAAAAAAAAAAAAGTTCAAAATCAAATCTCCAATCCCCCCAGCAGCAGCAGCTGGTAATGGGCAAATAGTCATAGCTATTAAGAGCATATTACCTGTCAGAGTGAAGTACTTTAAGATGGCATTTACATTTAATTTATGATTCGGTGATGCGGTAGCCCGAACGAGACTTCAGAGGATTCAGACGAGCCCCGAGGCCTTCGATTCTGACGCGGGAGCGGCCGGGTCATATCGGGTCCCATAATGAACGCTGGAGGCTGCAGCATTGCTGGGGCTAACCCCGCAGTAATCTGCTGCCCACTAGGCCCGAGGCTGTCAGAGGGGCATTCATTTAGAGAGCATTACAATGCCAGAGGGGCATCGCATTAGCCGCGGTGCTGAGTGTGATGGTTTACCCGCACTTAATGAAGTGAGGAAATAATTACAGCCCGACGTTGACCCCGCAGCACACTTCCATTTCAGCCTCGTCACGGGGGAGAGCTCGGCCGGGACCTACGGAGGGCAGGAGAGGAAAAAAAAAAAAAAAACGTCTTCTTCCACAGCCGATGACCGCCAACACACACATATGTGGCCCCCTTTGACGGATATGAACCCTGCGTAACATACACCCGGCCCCGTGAAGGAACCTGCCCGGCATAAAATTTAAAGCGCCGGGATCAGCGAGAGGCCACCGCGCTCGTAGGCATTAAATTTGACGACTCTGCCGACTGCAGGCGAAAGAACGCGCCGTTTGGAAGGCACACTTGGTGGAGTAATAACTGTAAACAAATCTCTTATGTTTCCAAAAAATTCATTTTTTTTTTCCCAAAATGAAGAAAGACATTACAGAAGCACGGAGCACATACTCTACCGCAGTCATAAAGTGTTCGTGTTATTTCATGTTTTATTGCTCTGGTTGTTAAACGTAGCAGTCTGAATGGGAGCATTACTTAAGAAAACTACTTTGACCAGGATGCAATCAGCACAGCTAATAACGCTGAGTGAGAACACACACAGAACGCTCCTGTACACAGAACGCTGCTGTTTTAAAGCACCGTCTCACACTTTATCACCCATTTTTCACATCTTGTCAGTTTTTTTTTTAAATTATTTTATAGCGAATGAATCTGATACGACAGCAGAAAGTAACTACTGATTATTACATTCAAGTTTTAATGCACATCCCTGTCAGACAGGAGCAGTATTATGTAAAATGAACTTGTTTGGAGCTTTTCATCATCTTATAATGTTATTCCTTCATCAAAAACATACCAGTGTTTCCTTGATTCTCTCATGCGTGCTTGAGAAATCCTTGAATCTCCCATGGCAACCGTTCAGCTGTGCAAAACGCCCAGGTGGGCCTAGCCCCGCCTTTGAGGAGGAAGCTCCTCCTGGGAGCTGCAGTTTGCAAGCTTCTGAGCTTCCGCCTCACTCAGCTCCTTCAGACTAGCCTGCAGCAATTAGCAAACACCTGGTGGAACTGTGTTTGCTATCTGGTGAGCTCTTTAAACGAGCTCCTTCTCAGTGAAAGCCTGGTAGAGGGTTAAATGAAGGAGGACTTCCTGAAGGCGGAGTTTCAGAAAGACCAGGAGTTTCTTGAAGAGACAGAGGCCCAATTTCAAGGTGTTAAATTACAAGTCAAATTTCCTTTGAAGTCATATTTGATATATGCAACATTTTTATAGCAACTGGAGGTAACATAGTTAGTTGATTGTGCTAAAAGCTGGAAAATACATAGTACTCCCGCTTTAAATACATCCAGCCCAACCAACTGCCTCTAGATGCCATTTATCTGGTAAAGAGAAGGAAAACTGTGCACTCCACAAATCTAGATTTAACAGGCAAGTGGGAAGAAGAAGAAAGCCATTCATTGCAGAAAGTCTTATGAAGTGCAGCTTACAGTTTAGCGCTGGCGAGATAGGGGTCACAGCAAACACGTGGAAAAGGGGTTTCTGATCAGGTGCAAACAAAATGGAAATTTGTGGATAACATGCAAACAGATCAAAGCCGATGGGAAGCTAGATGGGGCTAAATGTAGGGCAGTACCTGAAGAAAAACCCATTAGATGCTGCAAAAGACAACAGTGACCCGCCCCAAAAGACTTGTAGCCGCTGTAGCTGCAAACGCTGGCTCCACAAACTACGGGGTGCTGATTTTCTTTCTTCTCCCGATTCATTCTTGACCATGGCAATAGCAAAGAGGGAAAACTTCGGAAGTCCCCAATCCTCAAGCCAGTCATCTTCTATCAATTAACGGCTTCGCCCCGAAGCCCGGACGAAGGAGAAGCGGCGCGGATCGGGTCAGAGAAGGACTCAAATCTGAATGCAGAGGGAGATTTTGGAGTTGCAGCAGAGACGTCAAATCAAACGCTCTCGTGAGCATCGAGCACTGATCAATTCCAGAGCAATCAAGCATGGCCGTCTTCTCAGGGTGACATTTTCTTTCACTCAGACTCTAACCCGAGTCGTCTGGCTGCCAACACGCTGCCGGGACCCCGTCCATGATCGAGCTGTCTGGAGACGGCTGAGATGAGCGCAACTCCAGCGCCGGTAAAGCCGTCGAAAATAAATACAATTCCGGAATTAAACTCGCCACAACCACCGAGAGGAAACGAGAGAATATGAGTCGTGTCAGTAGAGCCGGAGTTTTACAGGAAGGTGGTAAATGCTGAACTCGAGTAAACTGGCTCTAGCAGAGACAAAAGACCCACAGAGGTCAAAGAGCATATTTTAAAAACATAAATTTACTACAATAAGGTGCACACTTAAGAAATATTAGATGTGAAAGAACATGTTGGAAGAACAAATACTTTCTAGCAGCACTGCAAAAACATAAAATCTATTTTTGGTGTAGTTTCTTGTGCAAATATCTTAGTACACTTGAAAAAGACAACACTAACTTACAAATAACTTTTCAGAAAGATACTGGAGCTTCATTTAAGTCAGTAATTCCTTAATATTGACAAAAAAAGAACCAATTCCATTAGCAGATTATTTCATGTGTAACATGGGCAAAATGTCTTGTTATAGGTCAATCGAACAAGTAAATTTTATTAACCATCGACTTGAAACAAGCTCCCACGTCCCGTTGAAAAGTTACCCGTGAGTTGATTTTGTCTTATTTCAAGTGTAATAAGTTGTTTGAACTAGAAATTAGGCAAAAAAAATACTTGGTGAGATTTTGTGTTTTTGCAGTGAGATCAACAATTCAGTCAGCAGAGTGAAAAGAGACATAAAAGATAACAGGAGACCTAATCAGAAGAATGAAAATGTGAAAACAGTTTCAGATTGATTTTTCTTTTTAAAGTTAATTTCAGTAATTCGATTCAAAATATGTGCAATCGAACTCGGTTGTGTTGTTTATATAAAAAGACATATTCAGTACTTTTGCTTTACTAAATCAAGTCAAGCATTTGCATTTTTACCTACATTAGGATAAACAAAACTGCTTCACAGTTTTGACCTGCATTGTTCATTTTTAAGAGGTTATTTTCATGTCTTTGGTACTGGGTGGGGCTGCCAGATCCAAACTGTTTTTGTTTTTTTTCCCACAAGATTCCCACAATATTTTTGCAGGACTTTGTCGCATTCCTCTTGTAACTCAGTCAGGTTTGTGATGGCAACTCCTACATACCGATATTTGATAAAGCCAAAGGTTGTGAATGAAACTTTCAAAGGTTTAGAAAAAAAATTATAATTTGATTATACGCCAACATCTATACTAGGATGAGAAAATGTGAAACAAAAGCTCAACAAGGCTGCAAGATGTTCTGAGATTAACATTCAGTGACTGTGGTTGAATCAGCTTCTGATTGGATCCCACAGAGGTCTTCCTCAGTGAGTTTAAATGTCAGCAAGCTCATTTAAGACAAGGGGAGCGGGTCAACCTTAGGTTTGGTGTATTTATTCTAAAATATGATTCCTCAAGGTCAAATACGAAACCGCGCTCCAGCTCTTTGAATTAAAAATGAGTCTGAAAATTTTTAATCAAGGTTCTTTTTTCTTTTCTGTCTTTCCTTTTGATAGCTTGAGGATTTTTACTGAATACTAATTGTCGTGTTAGTCGAAACTCTTTTACGGCTCAATCTGAAATTGCAGGGTTTTTTAAGCTTTAGTTCGATTTTTTTTTTATTTTTTACACAGTTTCTTGAATACCGTTACCCTTGATCACAAGGACAAGAAACAATTAAACGCTGCTGTCTAATCCAATTTCTTTCCACCTTTAACAATAGCAGCATCAGATAAATGGTTTAGTCTTAATCAGTTATTGTACTGGGCCACCAGTTCTGCACTTCTTCCTTCCCTGCAAACAGCACCGGTGCCTCTCAATGAAATATAATATTTGAGTACTAAATATGGCGGCGTGTGATTATGCAAGCCAAAGTGAAAGTCGCAGGTTTAAACTTTCTATTTACACGTCTGAGAGTCTGCACCTCAATAAATAAGAGACACACATAATGAGAATCATTATTTTAGTGTTTAAACTCATAAAAAGGAGTGAAGTGTATTGCTGGCTGCTCGCATTGCTAATAGTAGCAAGAAAACCCCCTTTTTTTTTGGTACTTACAGCAAACCAGATGCACTTTTTAAGTAGGTTTTCATGCCTCCTCCTTTGTTTTGGTGTATTCAGTTGCAACTTTATAGTGACACATATTGGCATGGAATATTTACTAAAATATTCTAAGTAATCTGCCGTAATAATGAGCTTAGGAAAACAAATACTGTTAAATATGAATGGTATGAATACAAATATGATTTATAAAGCTGGCAAACAGCACAAAAGTTGGCTGGACTGTTCATTACTTTTATTTATTCATTTTTAATCACTGTCTGTAAAAGCAATATTGAGTTGTAAAAGGATAATTAACAATGTAGTAAACAGTGTTCTTTAGTTGAAGCAGAAATGTCAAAGACAGGCATCTTCCGGAAAAAGCTGAAAATTTAACCGAAAAGCATCGAAAGATAAAATAAATGAACTCAGTGATGAAAGAGAAGAAACTCTAAGCTACAAGTGCAAACGTTGTAATGTCACTGAACAGCAACACCATTTTGCTAGGTGTGCTATTGAGAAATTGCAACCAAATTGATCTGACTCTGTGCTGAGTATACTGAAAAGTACATACACATACTTTTTTAGGAACTTGTTGTGTGATTCTTTATATCTGGTACTGCTGAATTTCCCCTTTGCGGGTCAATAAAGTCTGTTTCTATTCTTATTCTGTTCCATTTTTCTTTTCAATTATTTAGTTGAAGGCAAACGATGTTCTGAATAATCATAGTGAGGAACAGATGATGCTTCTTATGCAGCTGCTTTGCTGCAAGTGTTTTATGTCATAAACAAATGTCACTCAATCAATGCCAGACACTGTTCTTCACGATGAAACACAGAAGTCAAATAATTAAATATGTAAACACAGTGGATTTCATTATTACAGTCCTTTTTTATCATGTTTATTTTGCCATTATTTTATTATATTTTATCATTATTAAGCCAAGAAACTTGATAGAGACATGCGGTAGTGATATGCAAATGTATCTCCAATGGTAAAACTTATAAAAAACTAATATTCACAAAATAGTGACATATTTGAAGTATTTTTTTTACTTCAGATATGTACATTTTGATGATTGTGGCTAAAGAAAAACAATCCAAAATTCACATTCTATGAAAATTTAAAATATCAAGCAGGACCAATAAGAAAGAACATTAATGTATGAAATGCCAACAAGTGAATAAAGACTTCCATGTATTTAGTTACTGCGAGGTGATTAGCCTTTTACAGCAACCTTCAGGTAATCCTCATTGAGATGTCTCTTAAATTCCTTCTGACAATGCTCCATGGATTCTGTGTGGAATTTTGTTCCTGCAAACCTATTTGAGTTCAGTTTGAGCAATTTATTTCTTTGCTACCATTAAAGCTACCTTGTTAGCAAGCAGAGATTGCTAGGGCCTATAAAGCATTACTCTAATTATTTTTTTTAAATTAAATTTTGATTATATTCTAACTGAATGGGATACATCATATTAAAAAAAAAATTAAAATCAGCCTATTCGAGATCAGTTTTGTCAATTTGTTTCTTTGCTAGCATTAAAGCTACCCTGCTAGCTAGCAGCTACAGTCAGCCAGGGCCTATAAAGCCTGAACCAAGTGTGCTGAGGAATCACAGTACGTGCGGGGACTAATGAATTGTTTAGCACGTCCTTAATAACAAGTCATTTGTGACTTGTGATTGTTATGCAATGTTTAAAATGTTTGTAACTAGCATAGTTTTGGGTTTCTAGTATAATCACCAAACTAGACCAGAAAAAATACCTTAAATATATCACTCTGTGTAGGTATTTTTTTTAGTAAAATTTTGATTATATTCTAACTGAATGGGATACATCACATTAAAAAAAAAAACAGCTTATCCGAGGTCAATTTGGTCAATTTATTTCTTTACTAGCATTAAAGCTATCCTGCTAGCTAGCAGCTCCAGTCTGCCAGAGCCATGTGCGCTGTGGAGTCTGAGTACGTGTGGGGACTAATGAATTGTTTAGCACGTCAGTAATAACAAGTGATTTGTGTTTCCTGGGGCACAAGGGGACGTGACTTTGTGGCTAGCTTTATGTATCCACTGCCACTGTGGATTAGCCCTGCTCAGCATGTCAGTGGCATTTTGCTGATCTAACCATCCTGTTGTCTCTCCCTCCCCAACACAACCCTCTACAACTCATAAACAGAAATTGACTTTGACTCCTGTAGGGAACACTGGAGGCACAGATGGCATTTAGCTTCAGATTTGCTCTTGTCTAAATATTTCATCTCTCAACAAGCGCGATGTATCCTCTCCATTCTAATACATATATAATTTGACAACAAGCTCAGAGACACTCGCTCCGTGTCAGTACAATGTGACTAATATGAACCTCGCCGTTGCCGTACAATAAGTTTATAATGAATAATTGATAACACCTAATCATAACTGAGAGGTAATAAGATTTTTTTTTTTTCTCTTTTTTTCCCCCGCCACTCTCGGATTTCATACCGCCTTTTTCTGCAGGCAACAGAAGGCGCTGAAATGAAGATAAAATGTGCAAATGAAGCTTGTTTACCCTGAGCGGCTGGTTGGATGCAAATCGGAAAGACTTAAGAGTTGATTTTTTTTTTAAAAACATATTCCATCAGCCAGTCGAGGTGTAGCAAAAATGTTTCCGGTAAATATTTAAGCAATTTTAAATCCAAACATTGATCTCTGAAATGAAAACTACAGTGCGAAAGTTACTTTGAGGCAGAGCTGAATTTGCGAGGAATGCAAAGCAGCAGCAACTTGAGCGTGGCGCCTTCAGCCGTATTCGGTATGACAGACGGGATGATCTTCACGTGTACGTACGCCAGTCAGCATCATCAGTACACAACGCGTTTTTAGAAAAACTCCTTTTTTTTTCTTCCTTCTTTTGTTCGCAAACCAGGAGCCTCCAGAGAGGCCGAGCAGACAGGCCAGGAGAACGTGAAGCTGACCGAGGGAGGCTGTTATTCCACCAACCTGTCAGGTCGTCCTCCCCCTTCATCCATCTGATGGAGGCGGCCGGCTTGCTGCCAATGGATATGCAGGTGAGCTCCGTCTCGTTCCCCTCGCTGACCACGTCCTCTCTGCTCTCGATGATTGGGCTGCCTGGCGGGACTGACCACACAGCAGCACAAACGTTCAGACAGACGTGATCAGGCCAGCGCTTGTACACACATTTGTTTTTGTTTTGTTTTTTCTAGTAAGGTAAGAAACGATTAATCGGATCAGTCGCAGTGAATCGACTGAGTTAATCGTCAACTAATTCAGCGTTCAATTAATCGTTAACCTGGTGTACACACACGTCAACAAAAATCTTGCAAAGTACTTTTGATCTAGTTTCTAATAGAAACTGAGATATTTGCACTTTTGTGCAAATATCTCAGTGCACCTAAAATAAGACAAAACTAACTTACATGTACATTTTCAGCAAGATGTAGGAGCTTGTTTTAAGGAAATATTTAGTAAATAGTCATGAAAAACTAGTAGTTATAATGGCAGATTATTTCACTTGTAACGTGTTGAAAATGTCTTGCTATAAGTGAAATTATCTGCCAATGGAACAAGTACTTATATTACGATATTACACAATTATTTACTTAAAACAGGTTCCTAAATCTTGCTCAGTTTAGTTCAAGTGTACCAAGATATTTGCACTATAAACTAGACAAAAACATCTTGTGAGATTTTTTGCTTTTGCAGCCCAAAGTAAAAAAAAAAAAAAAGAGGTAATTTGCTGAAAAAAAACAACACATTCAGAGCAGTAATTTAATCAAAGCTGTAAAATATACATTTGCATTAAAGATGAAAACACCTTTATCTGTAAAGTTTTACAAAAATCCCAACAAGTGGCACAGTTTAGCTTCACCCGATTCAAATCGCTTAAGGAATGCCACGTTACCACATTTCAGGCAATAGAATATTTGTTTTCTTATTTAAAAAGGGAACTGAATTGTTTATTTTAATCTTTTAATGTATTTCCATTATAGTACAAAAAAGTTAAGGCAGTTAAATGAAAAATCTGAAGAATGTACCAGTGTTTTGATATGATTAATTGTCAGAATAACCAATCAATTAATTGATAACTAAATTAATCGTTAGTTGCAGCCCTGTCTTACAATGGTAAAACTTCAAGGCTTCATTTTTACAAACATTTCTGTTTTTCCTCTTTATTTTCTCAGTTGGTACCATCAGGAAGTTATTGAAGTTTAATTTGGAATCAATGCTTCAGCAAACAGATTTAATTTTCACTGACATATGGGGCTCAATTTCCATACTGTGACTGAAGTTTCACAAGTTTTCACTAAGTCTTTTTTAATGTTATTATTTTCTAAAACATAGATACAAAGGTCAACAAAGAATTTGTGACAAATATTTAAACTGTGGCCAGATTTTAACTAGACTTGGAAAACATTTTTTTAATGGACTTCCTGACACAATTGCTTATCCAGACTGAATCCTTTGTATATATTTGTGAAACGATGGTATTAAGATGCAAAAACAAGGCTTTCCTGCACTTCACGCTGCCAACAGTTGTGTGTGGGTGGCGAAGCAAGAAGATAAACACGATGTTGCTCTGTGGACACGGGTCACTGCGCCTGTCCAGAACTACTACAGTTTCTCCAGTTAAAAAAATGGAGGATAACATCTGTTGTAATTAATGTGATCAAGATCGATCGGTACAGCAATCAGAAAATGCTTTTCTGGATTCACACTGGCTTTGTTGTAGGTTTTTTTCCCCCCCCTTTTTCTTCAGACAGGGTATATTGTCACCACTGCAACTGGAGTGTTTCTTTTGCAGGAATTACAATACCTGAAATGCCATGGCGAGATCCTTTTTAACCTTCTGACTTTCACTGAAAGCCAGGTAAATTTCATGGGATTTTTCTTTTCTTTTTTTTATTTGGATATTTCACCTGAAATATGAAATGTGTTGAGAGAAAACTTCCAGAACAATCATTTGAGTTTTTTTGTTTTTTTAACAGACATGATGCATGCACTGAATATGTATTTTCATTCTTGTTAGACATTTTTTTAAATAGAAAATATATATATATTTAAAAATGACTAGGAAATAACTCCTTGTTGAAATATTCATCTTTGTATGGTATAATAACCACATATAGATGATCAGAAATTGGACTGACTTAGAGTCAGTAGTTTTTACATCTTAAAACCTGACCATTTTCAATAAGCAGCAATAGCAACATAATACATAATATGGTATTTTGAATGGAAATCAATTCTATTTCAATTTTCACACTTACAGGGCTATTACTTTTCTAAGATTAAAAAAAAAATCTCATTGCTGCCAAACATTTTAATGGCTAGAGTTGGATTCCAAAACTTCTGCATGTTCAAATGAGTAATAGTAGAGCCCTAAACTGGAAAGAAAAATAATTAAATTAGTTGCCTAAAAGCCAAGGAACAGTAAATTCAAATAGTTAAGTGCATTAAGTAGTGCACTCAATCACAATGGCCCCTATGCATACTCACTGCATGAGACACCAGTGTGGACATTTTAAATTTTACAGCAGAGGATATCAGCTAGCAAGTAAACCATTAGGTCGATAAAGTCTGGATCAGAGGAGTCTAAATGCGAACTCTTTGAATGGCACTGCACATAACAGGTCTTGTCCTCAAAAACACCAAACCAAAAGTGAAGCTTGAAGGTGAAAATCACACGTGGGCTGTCGTATGGTGATGGTAAACTACTTCATTGTTTACAATGGTGAACAATGAAATAAGGGATAAATTGTGTTTATCCCTTTCTAATTTATTTCACCAATACCTTCATATTTTAAACAGTAATATTAAAATAAAACCTACATAGGTTCTGCCAAGCCATGTTTGTCCGATTAAAAGAACTTTTTGAAAATGATTCATTTAAAGCATCATAAATGTTTAAACTTCCAAAACGTTGACATTGCTTGCTACTTATTCACCCATTGTTAGTTAAACTGTTTTTGTTCCATTTAACTGGATGTCCTAATTATTTTTCCAAGACTGTAAGTCATCTCAAGATCCTCCATCTGGTGTTTCTTGACCTCTGGTGGAGTCAGGACGCCAACCTCGAGGTTCGCAGGATCAGCCAACTTGCTTTTGCATACTTGACTGAAGATGGGGTCAGAGCTGGGAGACTGAGGCAAAAGCTAAAAATGTTGCACCCACACATTACGTTGTGCTAAAATGAGCCCAATTTCTTGTACGTAGAACTCATGTTAAAATCGGTCCAGTGCTGAACTGCGACACATCTGGAGGGTTATACAAACGTTGAAACAATGACACAGTAAATCACATACGGTATTAATTGTGTAGTTTCTCTTATTAAGGCATTGCCAAAAGATTTTAAGGCACAGTCAAACAGCCCTATGTAATTGCAACCTGTGTTCACTCGGATGTAAACACAGAATCAGGCCCATTTCCCGACCCCGCCTTGTATTAGTCATCACAGTAACTTCACGAACTTCACGTACTTGAAAGCAAAACGTCACGTGGGGGTGAAGGCGGGAGGGGGGTGCTTATTTCAAGAACTCTTGAATGCAACCCCCTTGATTCAGAAAAGAAGAAGAAAAAAAAAGGGGGCTAGGTTTCAGTCGTACAACTGGAGTAATTACTTTTAAGTGCTTTTAATTCCTTTCAATCCCCCAGGATGTCTGCATGTATAATAAAGCTTAACTAAAGTAATTTCTCTCCAAAGCATCAAAGTGTGGCACAGCTGACTCTCAATGGGAAATCGTTGGGAGCAGCCAAGTCAACATTCACCGGGATTCACAGAGTCAACACAGCTGCCAAACCAACGCGGTCTGAGCCATCAGTTTCAGCATCTGCTCCTTTTTCGTTATGCTGTTGAGCACCGCGAGAGCCTAATTGGCTGACATTTTGTTTCACTTGCTTAAGATAACAAGATCAGAGATAACTATTATTTCATATTCACCGCTCACAATGGAGCGGCTCACAACGAGAGTGTGGGTTTTTCATTTTTCTTTTCCTTTTTCTTCTTCACACCCGTGTGTGTCCTCACACCTTACCCAGGACGGTGATGTCTGCGTAGGCTTCCTGAGGAGGATCTGTGTAGAGCTGGCACACATAGCGTCCCTCGTCGGAGAGCGATACGTTGGACAGAGACACCCGGAGTTCGTTGTCAGAGAAATTCACCAGCTGGAACCGGCTGTCCTTGAGAGCTGTTGGGGATACAGAGAGCAGGGACACAAGTGTGAGATGCGCGGGGTGAGAAGAAAGAAAACAGGGGGGTGGGGGGAAAGAAGAGAGGAAGGGATGAGGGGGTTGAAGGATGACGAAGGAGACTCTATCAGGAAATCAGACAGAAGGAGGGAACTGTGGGGAGGAGGGAGGCAGAGCACTGCCCTTTATGCGGGGCTTTCTCCTTAATTGAGTAAAAGAAAAGTGAGTTTCAGAACGATTTCTACTAGTTGATTTATAAAGTACCTTTACAGTCCATGGAGCACTCGCAAAGAAAGGAAAAAGCGCAAGGAGTGTTCATGAAGAGTCCTAACAAGCTAAGAAAGTCTTAAAACCGGGCCGAGGCCGGTCACGGATGGCCGCGCCGGGCTCACACACAGTCCTCTGAAAGGAGAGAGGCATTCAAACATACATAATGAATTAAATCACAGAGAGGAAGCACAGACGCCCCAAAGTCCAAATCAAAAGCAGCCGGCAATCTCTGCACTAAATGCCTCCACGGATTGTTCCGGACTTCCTATCTTTCGACGTCGTCGTCAAACTGGGTTAGCCGACTCCGTCTCGCTCCGACTTCCTTATGCTCGCCGCTTTTCATTTTGGGTCAGCCCTCGTCCCCGAGAGCTCCTTTACATAAACAGCCTGGGCTGATTTGATTGGGGAGGCCTTTTGATGCCTTGACCTGCCTTCTTTATCAAGTCCTCTCCGCATCTGTCGAGCTAACGAACGCCACTCGGCCCCCGTTTGAAGCGGGGGAAAGAGTTTATTATTCCCTTCAGGCTTCACACTTTGCATTATGATCATTACTTGAGGTCTCCGGGTGGCGTCGATATGAAACCTTATTCCCTCAATATTATCTTAAGGCTCTTTGGAAGCCTGCACTTTTAGAGGCAAGAGCATCTGCTGCAGAGGGAAACACTCCATGTCTGAAATGATGAGTGCAGATTGCAGCATATGACTCTGTGACGTATAAGAGGTTGATTGCTTAGATAAGAGCGCCAATAGATACAGTTCCTGTCCATGCATTCATTAAGCGCATACATGTGATGCTAACTGTGGGGTGCTAATGATTTATTTGTACCTATGATTTTAATTCAGTCATTTTAAAATACAAAAACTGGATGCAGAGGTTTTTCTATGTATTGCGTGTTTTCTCTAATCCTCAGTCAGTCTCCAAAGTACTTCAAAAGCAGTATTGTCTTAATGTTTGTAGATTCGGCAAATTATGACACAGCATCCTGAAGTCTCCTAGAAAATTGTCCTAAGGATGACAAATTGAAGGTATGAACGTACCAGTAGGTGGCGCTAATATGCAATATTCTCCAATTTGCCCCACAAAATGAATAAGATGTGATTTAAAAAATTATAGCTCTCAAAAGACCATGATTTGTCTGATTTGTTAGACCCATATCTGAGGTTGAGAAGTTGTTTGTAGCTTTTGCAAAGGATTTCATTGGTGGCTGTGATCTCAAATGTTGTCATCTTTATTTGAACAAATAACATAATTTAGCTTAGGCAGGAAAATGTTGGATTTTTTTCTGTTTGGAATATATTTTATTTAGAAATGTCAATTTGTTAAAAGGGCAAAATTATGTTTATTCCAAGCACGGTGCCATTTTATAACACGATCAAGTGGCTATGCTACCTGCAGTTGTTACAAAAATGCTGCATATTATCAAACATGACTTTAAAGAGACGCAGCACCTAGAAATTGGATCTCCGTCTCTTTAAGAATCTGCTGCTCTCTCCGACACTCCCCCTTCAGGAAGCCATCCCAACAATCCTCATTGTGCCGTTTACAATAACTGTGGCGGAGTGAGAAGTAGTTTATATGATGAGCTCAGGAAACGCGCAGTTCCACCAGGTGTTTGCTAATTACTGCTGGCTAGTCTGGAGGAGCTGAGTGGGGGAGTCACAGAGGAGTGCTGCTCTGTGAGGCGGGAGCTGCAGCTCCAAGGAGGAGCTTTGTGAGAGCAAGTGTTTAGGCACCACTGAATGGTTGCCATGGGAGATTCAAGGATTCCTCAAACGTGCATGAAAGAATGAAAGCATATCTTCGAGTATGTTTCTGAAAAGGGAATATCATTATAGGACAATGCACATAATACTGTTCCTTTAAAGTCTTTGTGGTTTACACACAAGTTTCAAAACAGCTTTCCTGTCTTTATGCTTACTAAGTGAAACACTTTGGTGTAGGTCACTGCAACTGCAACGAGTCTAAAGAAATACTTTAAAAGACCTTCAGAGGAATTAATCAAAAATATATTTCAAAGATCAAAGGAAATTCTTTCAAAGTGAGATAAATACAATTGCTGTGCTTTTTTAGATCATCACAGGCCTTTACATACTTTACCAATGGCATCCAAGGTCAGCCCTCCAGATCCACTGTAAGGGTAAATAAATATGATATGGTAGTGAGAATTTGTTTGTCCACACGATATTATAGATTCAACACAATCAGAACTGCTGCATGTTTCCTGCTCTCTAAGTTGGTACTTAATTAAATCCACTGTATGATCAGTTTTCTACCATAACCTTCCACAAATTTTGCACGGACTCATTCAGCCAACACGTGTCCTGAATATGTAAAAAAAAAAACAAACAAAAAAAACCCAGCCATAACCATTTTTGAAATTGAGCTAACCTGCAGGGCTTTGAATACTTAACATCACATTTGTTTGCGAAGTACCACTTTTTAAATATTAAGCCCGGAAACCTCCCGGAAGGGTGGGGGAGGGGGGGAATGCGGCGCCACGTTGCTGTCCGCGCCGCGGTCCACCTTCACTGATAAAAGACTCATTTTTTTTATTCCGGATGACAACCGCTGCCGAATTACATGTCATTTTGGATATATCTGGAGGAATAAACGTCTCACCCTAACAAGGCGCGCTCGGCTCCGACCGACCCGTGACATAATTTATCTTTATTTGCTGCAGCAGGAATTTGTTTAAAAGAAAAAAAGAGCCCTCCTCTGCGACTGTAAAGCCGATACTCTACTGCTGTTTGTGTCTTGTTCCGAGGCGACTACTTGGCTTGTCAGCTCCCGGTGTGTCTCTGTGTCACTGCTGTTTGCCTCCTCGCGCACAAAGATCTGCCACTGTGTCAGGGCAGCCATGATGACAGGTAACAATGCCACCGGCTTGGAGGGTACAGAGTGGGGGGGAGGGGGTGAGGGAGGGGGGGGCAGGTTGGTTTGTGCAATACTGGAGGTCCTTTAGGAGCCGGGGGCCTAGAATAGCATTGTCGACAGGGGGAGTTCGCCAGACCCCATTACGGGAAGTACAAATACGCAGCAGAAACCCAATAACACTTAATCCGCCCGTCGCAAAGTCTGACATATATTCACATCCAACGGTGGATAAACAACACAGTTTGTTTTTTTTCTTTTCTTTTTTTTTTTTGTTATTGACGAAGGAGATGTATTGACTTTGGCAGAGAAAATGACATGTTTGCAGGCTCACATGGCGCCGCTCAATATAGAACAAAGAGGGAAAGGTTGTCCTAACCTCCTGGCAAGACTTCTGTAACTGTACAGACTCATCATTGATCAGCGGGCACGATGAGCCTCCTGATTATTGTTTCTTTTAATCTTTGCTGTCTGAGTAAATAGGAGCACAGCCCCCGATCTATACTTTCATAACACTCCTCTCTCTCTTTCTCTCTCTCTCTCTGCCACATTTTTTGTTGTTTTTTTTTGTGGGTGTTTTACACAAATGTGACAAAGACGTGCGCTGAGACTCCCCCGGCGAGAGGACCGAACGCACGTCTGGCTACCTGGGCCTGCGAAATAACAGCTGGGAAGCAATATAGATTGAGATGAACGGTGGCTCTCATTCACCTTCAATCCTGGCTCGGATCCAAGGCGCTACGTGAAAAAAATGCAAGACAGAAAAAAAAAAAAAAGAAAGAAAGAAAAAAATCTTGGTTTAAAGCATAAGTATTCCATATGCTCATGCATAATCATAATGCCCAATATCCCTAATCTAAGAGATTATCGTAAAAAAACCCGACAAGGACACGAAAGTATTTCCATTACATAAGCGCTGTGAATTATCTCTTAATAATCTCGCAGCATTCGAAGCTTAATGACATGTGTAAAAGAGCCAGAGAGTCAAGGACAGATGGAATCGTGTTTGCACACCAAATCCAAGCGAAAGCCGCAGCTGATCTTGTCGTCGTGTCTGACACCTTTACTGTAGTAAAACCACAACAGCTCCTTCGGTACCAGGATGCACTGATGGTTGTACAGTAACCCACCTGTTTAGAGATGACTTTAATTAGTGGTAAATGGAACGCCGCGCGACATGCTCTATCTGCATTCATCTGATGATTTTGATGACGGTATTTGACAAAATGTGATGTTTATTGCTCGTTTCATAATGGATTACTGTTATGTCTTCATGGTGGGAATCCCTTTGGACTGCCTCGTTGCTGAAATGTACTTTTCAAATAAGCCTGACTTAATGTTCCTCTTGTGAAAAACAAATATAAGTACTCAAAGGAACACAAATAATAAAGTTCACTTTGGTTATGGACAATATTTAGGTTTATAAGCTAAGCTGTTTTTTATTTGTTTTTTTTTTAATACTTTGGTAAAGACGTTTGTAACTTATTTGTGTTTTGAAACGTCACCATCCACACCAGGTTTTCACACCTCTTAAAATGTATGTTTAAAAAATGGTAGCTTAAAAAGAAATCACAATCCATAATAAGCTAACTTACTATTGCCATGTAATAATCTCACACTGGAAAGTTAGCAAAAGTCCAATCTTTAATTTGAGTGCAAAAATCATTGAAAATTAAGTTAATTAAATATAATTCTGAATAAAAAATACTGGTAACTTACAGCCACTATATCTGCCTCTGCCTTACATTTCAATTGTTTTATCTTTGGTAAATAATCCTCCAGTGATGCCAACGTATTTCAAATGTGTCACTGGATCAGTAGTTACACAGCTACTACAGATGTCGCAATAAAACATTAATACACAATAATATTGTCTACTTGTGATGCATACACTTTAACTGCAATAATTAGGATTCGCTCACCTCAGCATGCTGTATGCTTGAAAGTCACCAAGTATTATACTTTCTGATTAGCTCCAATAAATGATTAAGTGACAATTTAGGGTCTCTATTAGAACATTTAAAATAAATTTTCTGATGATCCTTAAATATATAAAAAAATGAATAAAACAAGACGCATGCAAAACGACACAATCCTGAAAGACATGACAAGCTTTTATCTTCACAAAACCGTTCGATCTGTGTACTACATATTTTAACCCACCGATAAACGTGGCAAGATAGCAAACAGTGGGATGTTAGCTTTAAAAAAAAATCATCTACAATTTAAGTAGGACAGCTGTGTGATACAGAAAGAAACTCAACCTTTTCTGTGTTTAGAGGCAGAGAAAAAAAATAGAGTAATTGAAAGTGTGACAAGTAGGGCTGAACAAGGACCCAAATTTGTCTCGTCTCGAGGCTTTTGTACATCATTTCAACAGAGGTCCCAATAATTGCAGAGAGTGCTGTGTGCGTCTGTGTTCTTTAATAGCGGTTAATTGCTTTTGTTATAAAGCATAATAGTTTAAAATACTTGTGACATTTTGTGTTGCCACATTTGGGAAAGTAGCAGCAGCTGACTCATTTTCTGTATGCCACCTAATACATTAAGACAAATCAGCTTGGTTATGTTTAATTGTAGGTGATAAATGTTAATTTAAGGGTGAGGCGATATAAACTGCGGCATCCTCGTCCGACACCTCGTCCATGGTAATGAGTGATAACTAGTAACAATTTCTTGTTTAATTGCTGGTAATAGAATTAAAATGTATTACATATGCAAAACTAAATTAAGATCTGACATTTTTAAGACATTTTGCAGCCAGAAATCTAAAAAAAAAAAAGTATGCACTTTTGATAATTAGCAACTGATATTCAAAGAAGAAAAGTACCCTAAAACATAATTTTCTACAATAAAATTGTCAAATGGTGTATACTATGGACAATATTACTTGGTAAGAAATAGCACTATGAGATTTTTTAAAATGACAATTTTGTTTGCAGGAATATTTCACATAAATGTGTGCCTGCTTTTTGGTAACACAGAAAAGGACAGAGTGATTGCTCTTTCTTACTCCAAAGATCCGCCTTCACAGGAAAAGTAGATTAGCTTGATCAAAGTATATGTGTAAAGACACAAACTGTTCAAAGTGCTGTTTTTCTCCAGGAGAACAATTCAAAGATGAAGGAAAAGGAAACAACAATTTGTACAACGGTGACAATACGGAAGTATTTTTGGTGAAAAAGTATTTGTACCTTTTAATTATGAAGTCGAAGTCAGAGAGAAAAAGCCAACAGGAGTTTTGCAATTGTACATTTTGTAAACTTTCACAAATACAAAGCAGCAGTTATATCACTTCAAATTCTTCAGTGCAAGAGCAAAAAACTGTATTCTTTGAGTCGCACTTTTAAAAAAAAATCCCACACGGACAGTTTTGCCCCTAAATGATTCCAAACAAATGGTGCGAAAACAAATCCACATACCTGTGTCAGACAAAAAAATAACTTGTGAATATTTGTTCATCACTCAGACACAAAACTACTGTTACACCTTCACAGAGTCTTCAGTGCGGATCACAGATTCCATTCTACAAGTCACAAAGTGCAAAAGGCTTGTAATAAAATTTTTTTGTAATAATATTTTTCCCAAACTAAGTCCGGTACATTTGGAGCCAAGCCAATTCAAACACCTGTATAAACATTTTTTTCAATATTTTTCTTCTTAACACGGATACAAGTCAGTGATTGCAACTATACAAAACTGGTATTGCAAATCACAAATTCTGTTTTAAGAGCCACTTTTTTTTCTTGGTCACACTGAAAGTGAAACAAAACCGATTTGTTTCTTGTGGGTAGTATGTATGCCCGTACAGCAGGGGGCGATGCCAAACTCAGTATAACAAGCCAGAAATAATTTCCATTCTGATGATTCCTATTTTTTGAAGGGCATTATTTCGTACAGAAACATCATAATCCATTTTATTTATGGGTTCGGCTTTAAGTGGTTTTTATTTTGGTTTCATTTAATGTTTTTGGTTGTCGTGTTTTATTTTGGATATTTGCATTGTCTTCCAGCTCCAGTGTTGTGTTTTTTACAAAATTAAAGTTTATAGGGAAAACTTGCATTTTCGTGGCATTATCAATATATTACATGAATGTGTATTCGAATCATAATGCTGGTCAGAACCGGAGCAGAAAGCACTAATTTGTCACCGCGGTGAATTACAGGTGAACTAGACTCTCTACAGATCATTTTTGAATCCCGGGAGGAGACGCTGATCTGTCCTGACTTTCTCCTCCTCACTGAATAAATTACCATGTAAATCTTTACCTCATGCACTCACACTGGAGTTGGAGATTTAAGCACGACCGTTGTCATCTCGCGTGGCCCTCGTGTCATACATTTATGCTCGGATTTTGTGTTTGTTATGTAACGTCACCGCTCTGGCAGATTTAGCTTCATGCTAGGGTGCATCTTTTTTACATATGTCTCGCCGTCATGGAAATAAAAGCACTGCGAGGTACAAAACCGAACGCAGTTGAAAAGCAAAAGATGTAAAAACAAAAAAATTAAGATACGTGCCCTTTAATCCTGCTTTAGTAAACTCTGATGCAGAAGAGAAGTGCAGAGCAGTGAGACAATGTGTTATGTTTGTTATGGTCCCAAAGCTGCTGCCTGCATATTTTGTGTCATTCCCCTCTCCCCATCTTCTCACTCCCAAAAGTTAGCTCTAAAAGTTAACACTAAGAAGGAACAGAGATTCCTCAGCTGTCAGAAAGACTAAGAAAACAAGAAACTATTTGAGAAAAAAATACATAAAATAACTTTTTCTTCCTCCTCCACCTAAAGTTCTGAAAGAAATATTCCTGGTTTGAGGCAGAAATCAAACCTCTGTAGGCAGCCGGAATTGGAGAAAATTGGATTTCCACTTACTCCATCCCTTTTGTTGTGGCAAACAATATTTCTCTCAGTTACAGTAAAAGGGGGCATGACTGTGCATTTTAAGAAACTCCGGGAATTGCGAATGCAGCTTTGCATTTCGGGCGGATGGGAGGGGCAGGCGGAGGAGGGGACGGGGAGCGGCACTCACGTCTCAGATCTCTGAAGTAGATGGTCTGTCGGTTCGGGTTCAGCAGCTGGATGACGGAGTCGTCGTTGTTCCTCACTCGGCAGCTAATGGTGGCCGTCTCTCCCTCGATCACCGACACGTTGTCAGTCGCCAGGTTCTGGCTGTCAACTAGAAAAAACACAAACACAAAAAAAAGACAACTCTTAAAGTGGCAGTGTTATGTGTTAATGCCATTTCATAGCAGAGTCAAGTAACCTTCAATTGTTATAAAAATGCTATAAAAATGTAAATACAACTTCAAAAGAAATATTACTTCGCAACTTAACACCTTAAAATTGGGCCTCTGTCTCCAGCTCTTTCTGAAACTTCAGGAAGTCATCACAACATGGCTCCTCTATTAACCCTTTAACCACATTTTTACCAGTGTGTCACTGAGAAGTTGCTCATACAATGAAGTCAGCTAATGCACAGTCCCACCAGGTGATTGCTAATTGCTGCTGGCTAGTCTGAAGGAGCTGGTTGATGGGAGTCGCTTGGAAACCGCAGCTATGAAATGAATGGTTGCCCCGGAAAATTAAAGGATTTCTCAAACATGCATGAAAGAATCAAAGCAAAACTCCAGGTATGTTTTTGATGAAGGAATAACATCATAACATAATGTAAAGTAAAAAAAAAAACAACAACTTGATTTTACACAACACTGCTGCTTTAACGAAACTTTCCTGCTGGATGTCTAGAGTCTATTAAATACTTAGACTTTGTTGGGTTTTTTTTTCTTTTGCTCCATGTCAACAGACGGAGCAAAGCTATGTGAAGAGGCTGTGTAGATTGTCAGTTTGCAGCCATGTCTAATCCTTTTAATATAAGAGCCATGTGCAGTGTTTGTCACTATTGATCTCCCCCCACAGCTCAGAGTAGGCCCTGCGAACGAATGCCAGATGGGCTGTAAGCTCTGCTGCCCACAAAGATGCCGGGAGAGGAAAAGGATATGAAGGGAAAAGAAAAAGAAAAAAAAGGGACAATGAACAAGTGTAAGGAAAGTGGAAACCCGGCAGATATGGGCGGGGCGGTTGGAGGTGAGAAAGATGGAGGACGGTTAAATCGAGAACGGCGAGAGGAGGAGTCGGAAGGCGTTTCTGGTTAAGCTTTTTTTTTTTTTTTTATCGAAGCTCTCCATCTGAGGCCGGTGTGTGCTCAGCGGTTCTGTTCCCCGTCTGCAGGAAATACAAGCATCTGAGTCACTGTCTGTACGCCGGCCATTGTTGACCGCCCCCCCCACCACCTCCCTGACAAGACTTTGGACCTTGTCATCATAACTTACACCGTACTAAGCCCCAACACACACACACACACAAAACGCCTGGCTTTGTTTCCCCACCCTGTCTTCAGAAAGAAAGAAGAAGGAGAAAGTCAAAAGTCACCTTGTGCTATATTTATTTGGCAGGAGCCAGAAAAAAAAAAAACATAAAGGAAACACGTTTAATGCCTCAGATTCACACCAGCGGAGAAACAACACTCCTAGTTTCATTCCCCCCCCCTCCGATCCTAAAAAAAAAAAGAGAAACATCAAAAGCACATTTGCATGCCTGAGTTGTCAGACACCTCTATTGCATTCTGACATTTACAAAGTGGAAAGGGAGTGGGGGGGGGGGAAAGAAATGCCTGCGTTTTCCGATAGCGATAATGGGAATAGACAGCCAAACTAACATGATTCAAAATGAACTCTGCAAATGCGGCGAGCAATAAGAAATTAACCTCCTGTGGAGAAAAGCTCCTCAGACCTGTCTGATGCAATGAACTACCCATTTTATTCCACTCCTCTGCCAGCCCTCAGGTTCAGGACAAAAGAAGGGTAATAGGTACAAAAAAAAAACAAAACAACAAAAAAAGAAACAATTATGAGTCAGAGGACACAATGTAGGCAATTAAAAGTTTATTGTCGCCTCATAATGGGCTTTAATTCGTTTCTGCTAAATACTCGTTTCATACATCGGGTTCCGTTTAATCAATTCATTTCGAACTGCATTGTTTAAAAAAAAAAAAAAAAAAAAAAAGGTCCAGGTTTGATTTTCAGATAAGGTCAGAGATCTAGAACGACAAATGGGAAATGATTTAAATTTGCTTTCAATTTACGAGCAAAAATAAATGTCACCTTACGGCGACATTTATTTCTCTGTGACCCCCAGGATGCGCTGATTCGCTCAGTAAAGCTTAAGTAGGACTAATTTGATAAGAAGTTTCACCTTAAGCTTTATCAGCTTAATTACTTGTCAGGCATCTTCAAAGAAAATAAAAAAAACAAAACAAACATACATACATAAATAGAGAAAATAAAGATATGATGTAAAGAGGAACAGTTGGAGGATAAACCAACTCAGTGCTGTCCCTCACCTGTGACCCCCATCCCCACCTGTTGCTGTGTTACCTGCTAGTCAGCTAGGTAAGTAAATAAACACAATTTTAACATAACATAAGGAAATAAGCATTTCATTTAAATCGACATTTTGGATTCATTTTATTTGTTTTAAATATCTGAAATTTGGCCAAACTTTTGACGTGAACGTTTTCCTGTCTTATCCTCTTGATCTGATAAACTCACGTTCTCCTTTCACTCCACCCCGTTGTTTTTTTGTTTGTTTTTTTAAGCAGTTGTGGGGGTAAAACCTGAAACTGCTGCTGGTGCAAGTTACTCAACATGGCGTTGCTAGGCAACCGGAGAGTGAGTGAGTTAGTCGATGACAGATTTTTCTTAGCTGGCTGAGCGAGGCTGAGCAGCTGAAGCCTTTCCTCTGCCTACATCTCCCAGAATGCTGTGTGGTTCAGTGAAATTATTGAACATTTTATCAGACGTACTTTCTATTAATACTGATCACATGTCTATCACAATATACTTCTATTGATTTCTTGACTCTCTGGCACCCAATTTCATAATCATAGTATTTCATGGTCTTGCAGTTATTATTGAACAAAATTAACTAACAACTTCCCAAGTTATCAAAACCTTTTTAGCGCATTTTTTTTAATTTACTCCTAGAATGTTGGCATCCTTTTTAAGATCAACATACAATTTACAAAATAACAATTAGACAATTTACACAATAAGAAAAATTGGTCATTGGTTTGTTTCCTCTGCAGCTGCAGTTCCTGTTCTAGTGAGAAGCTCACATGCATTTTCCAATAATATCATAATAATATCTCTGACTCTGTGGACATTCGTATTTCTAATAACTGGAAAGTATTTTTATGTTATTGTCTTGTTCAGTATACTATTACTGTTATTATTGTTAATCTTTTTCATAAATTGTTTTGGAACTAATAACTTTTGGTGTGAACTTTTATATCTGATGCTGCTTTTACACCATCAGAATTATTGTGGCACAATAAAGGCTGATTCTGTTCTGTATGAATTTTTATTTTTCGATTTGAACAGTTCTTTGTCTGGATTGAATAATTACATAGCATTACCTTCATAGAGACACATATAGCTTTGGAAAAAAATTAAGAGACCACTTAAAAAGATAAGTTTCTCTGATTTTACTTCTTATAGGTCTATGTTTGAGTAAAATGAAGATTATTCTTTTATTCTATGAACTACTGACAACATGTCTCGGAAATTTCAAGCTAAACATTTTGTATTTATTTGCAGAAAATGAGAAATGGTCAAAATAACAAAAAAGATGCAGTGCTTTCAGATCTCAAATAATGCAAAAAAAACAAGTTCACATTCATTTAGAAACAGCAATACTAATGTTTAAACTCAGGAAGAGTTTGGAAATCAATATTTGGTGGAATAACCAGGAGGCTTTTAGTGCAGTGGGCTCTTTATTTTTTCAATTCCACACATTTTTGTAACCATCAACAAGCTTCTGGCATAAGTCTGGTTTGATAATTGATCTTTATTTTCTTTCTTTCCTTTTTTTTGTTTTTTTTTTGTTTTTGTTTTTTAGGAAAACTGGTCAAACTAATTTAAACTGGTTGACTTCTTGGTGTAGATAAATTGATTTGAGTACAGGAACAACAAAGAAGTTAGAAGTTAGTCAGCTTTGTCTATCTCAAGATCAACTTTGATTTGTGTTTGGGATCATTTGTTGAACACCCAACTCTTTCATTTGACAAAAAAAAAGAAAAGAAAAAGCTCATTATTTTTGGGAAAAACCTAGGCACCATCAAGAATAACTTTCAAACTGGGAGCTGCAGGAGGACCAGTATCCACCTTCAAAGTTATACTGGTGCTCAGTTCCCATAAGAGAAGCAGTCAAACCAAGCCAGAGTTACACCCGAATCTTTTTAGGTACAACAAATGTGTGGTTCCTCTGCCATGCGTTAAATATTAGATACATATTAGTGTAGGCATGAATACGTCTGAGCCTGTATTCATGACTTTCAACAAGCTTGAATGAAAGAAAAATATGTTTTTATAAATTAGTCCAAGTTGTCTCTTGTGTTGTTATTCTGGTTCAAATAAGTCATCAAAAGGCCAAAATCAATACAATATTCACACAGACGATAAACTTCTACCCTGACTTGTATATACTGTATCCAAAACACTAATAAATATGGGAAAAAAAACATGATTAAGATTCATATTTGCAACATATTGAGTCTGTATGTTAATAGCACCAGCGCACGTGTAAATCTTTCCAGTACTTTTGAAAACATTTTTTTTTATTTATTTTTTTTTTATTTTTTTTAGGAAAAGCATGCAGCAATTTCAACTTCGAAATCCCCGCGCCTCGTAGTAAATACTGCCAAAGATGAGCCGGAAAGCAATATAAAGAAAAAAAAAAAAGTAGTTTTGATGTCTATTTTATTTCATCGCACTAAGAGCAATATATTTGGCAGTCAAAACAGCAACAGAGCAGCCTCAAAGCAAGGTTACTCTGCTCCCAATCTGCTGGACTGAGAGACAGAGAACTGGTAGGAAAAAAAAGAAAAAAAAAAAAAAGATAAATTCTCCATAAGGTTTTAGCAGCCCCCAAGCAAGGTTGGTATCCCTCCAACATCCCAGCCTCGGCTCATCTCCAATTCAAAACACACATAAATAACGTCGCTGTGATTAGCAATCCCATCAAAGTGAAAACAGGCCACTTTGTGGAACATGGAGGGTTTTCGCAATTGAAGTAAACATTTTCAATTGCCTCGGCATCCTGGTCATGATTGGGTGCAAA